CAATATAGCTACTCATCTTCTGGGAAACTTTATGCAGATGTCCCATAAACACCTCACCTCAAAAGTTTAAATTTTTCTTTTCTACCCTAAACCTTCATTGATTCTATATTTTCTGACTTAGTGAAATTTGTATCTGCTCAGTTTATCAAACCTGGAAATGCTTGCAATCTTGACGCCTTTTTAAGACTTTCACATCAAATTAATTATCAGGTACTATTAATGTTATCTCAAACATTATCAAACTCATCTCCTCTTACCTATTTCTACTACCATGGTACTGTTTTAATTTCTCACTCTTCCTCACTGTATTACTGCAATAACCTTTTGTCTGAACTTTCTGTTTCTATCATGTCTATTTTAAATTTATTCTCACATATGTGTCAGTGTGTGCTCCCCTCAATACATACTTGAAAATATCACCTGCTCTATTCAAAGCCCTCCAAGGATTTTCTGTCACCTACAACAACGGTTTTCAAATTTTGTTTTAACAGTTGTAGATTTTAAAAGAGAAATATCACATAGAGTTCAATATATGAATACATATTTCTAGTAATTTAAATTTAAAAGCTATAACTTTTAGTTACATAGAAAATCAGTCTCTGACAAGTGTGGTAAAAATCAAACATCATCCAGTATTAGTGTAGTCCTTTTCTCCTTACTGAGCATTTGTATATGCTTTTTTTTTTCTTTGCTTGATCCTCACATGATCTCTCTGAAGTGAGAAGGACGAGTATATTTACATTTCAACTTTATGGATAATGATAAGAAATGGATCCCAAGTCTTAAAAGGCTATTGTATAGTAAGAAAAACAGAGCTATAACAAAAATGTAATGTAATAAATAATGACTAAAAGTAAATATAAAGTGATACAGAAACACTGACAAGAGAACAGTAAACTCTAATAGGTTGGCAAGGCTCAAGGAAAGCAATTATAGAAAGAAGTCGGGTAAACAGATGGAAGAAGAACATTCCAGAGATAGTAAAAGTAAGTGCATATTCAAAGTTTGGTGAATAGCCTGTTCAACATAAGCAGAAGCTGTATGAAAATGGTTTAAATAGATTTTTTTGAAAAGAAAGAATTGTTTAAAGGTAAAAGACAAAAGATACAAATTCGTTTGGACTTTGGTCTATAGACAGTAGTGACTGCAGTTTGAGTGAAGTGATAAATAACTAGACTATGGCAATGGATAAGAACTTATAGCAAATCATCTAAATATATAGATTAGAAGGAAGTTGACTAGTACAGTTCTATGGTACACATGAAGAGAAAAATTGGAGTCAAGGATGGCATAAAATTTTACATTTGGGCAAAATTATGGTATTACCCAAGGTAAGAAATGAAGATAACAATGGAGGAACACATGATCAAAATTTGGAATATAAGTTAGTTTGCCTGAAGGATCTTGTAGAGAAACAGAAATGATGATCTAAAAATAAAGATCAAGCTTAAAAATAAATATTTGAGAACAATTAATCTGAAGCTGGTAGTTAAAGCCAGAAAAGTAGACAGAACCACATAGGGAGCCTGTGGAAAGCAAAAAACTGAGGGTAGACCACTTAGAAATAACAGTAAGCTTCAAAAGGGAAAAGAAAATCCAATTATAAACAGATAATAATATACAAATGAACCATTTGTCAAATAATGGCCTTTAGGCAAAAGAGATGACAGAAGGAAAGTTTGCTAAATATTGTTAAATATTACAGAAAAGACAAGTAAAGAAGGGACTAGGGAGAAAAATTGACTGGACCCTGGATAGACTTTTTTTATCAATATTTCTTTTGTAATATTCTTACTGTTATCTCCAACTGGCAGACATAGTGTTAAGTTTTCAATTTCTTAATTTATTCAAGAATACTTGGTTTCAGTCTCTCAAAGTACTGTTCTAAACCAAAGCACTTTCAGTATGGTTAATGGTGCTTTGCTTTCCTCTCTCCGTCTACAGATGGGAGCCATTATTAAGCAGCCATCACTCATAGTTAATGTAATAGTGGTAGAAACATTTACCAAACATATCCTTCTTTGTAATCTTTTCATTATTTTAAAGTCAGGATATATAAATACCTGTTTATGATTATTATATTTATGTATATATGAAAAAGAATGATGGTGTATTAATATTTTCTAAGGCAGTGATGTTTGATCTATAATGTGTTCAAATCCCATTATATTAAACTCCATGAATTTAAGGACCACGTTGCATTTAGTGCAGCATCTGGCATATGGTAAGTGTTAAATCAGTATTTTTTAAATGATAAACAAGGCACTAGAAACAAAGAGGATGGATGGCAAGAGATAGCTAAAGGAATAAGAGAAAAAAGGAGATTACATTGGAGAATAAGGCACATATGGATAATTAAATATGTTCAGCTATTGAATAATTGAAAGTTTAATAAAAATCTCATTAATTATAACTTCCGATTTATGTTCTTATGGGATCATTTAATTTGAGACTAGCAGATATTTTACCTTTGCATTGTTTATGAAGTTTTGTTTGCTAAGTAAACTAATAAGATAAACCTATTCAAGAAGTTTGTTTAAAACTACTTGCAAAGCAAAGCTTTTAAGAATTTCAAGCTTAATTATTAAATAGAAATGAATGCCACAAATTGCCCATGTTATACATTCACTGACGTTAATTCAAAGATATCTCTATTTGAAAAATGAACATATTTAAATGCAAACTGTGCACTATTTCTCATAGGGTCATAGATAAAGTTTTTGGATTTCCTTTAGTTCAGCATCTTATGGTAATCACCACCCTATCATTACTACCCTCACTATCATCATTATGATATTTATCATCTTAACAACATCATCAATACCATTAATACAGTGTCTCCTTTGTGGCAGTCATTGAATAGTTCACAATATGTCTGTAAAATATTATTATCCCAATTTCTTAGATTCAGTAACTAATCCTTTGGAGAGTAAGGTGCTTAAGATGACACAATTATTAAATGGCAAAACCAAAATTTTAATCTATTTTTATGTTGACTACCCAAAATACTTCCAAAAATTCCTGTTGCTAAACAAAATTAAGTTTATTAGACCTATCATAGGAAGAAAGAATACCACCTTGACTGAGTGTATTCGTTTAGTAGGTTTGCCGTAACAAAGTGCTGCAGATTGAGTGAATTACGAGACAGAAAAATAGTGTCTTAACAGTTTAAGGTGTTATCAGGGTCTTAACAGTTTAAGGTGTTATCAGGGTTGATTCTTTTGGGGGGCTATGACAGGGAATCTGTTTCAAGCTTCTTGCCTAGCTTTTGTGGTAAGACTTACAAAGTGAGGACCTGTTTGGGACTGAGCAGAGTTTCTGATTAATTCATTTTAGATTGCCAGGCAAAATGAAGAGAAACATAAAACAACTTTTGGTAAATAAGCTAGTTAGCCTTCATAGGTAATTTGCTTGGTTGAGTTGTAATTTTATCATCCAAAAGTGGGTATATGCTGGAACAAACAGCTAAATTATTTTTGTTTGATTGCAGTATTGCTCAAAATAGGGGGTGACAAGGATGCCTGATCACAGAATTATTTAATATATAGGGAATTGCAATTATGTTGGTTTCAGTTCTCATTCATTCAGCTTCAGAGTCTATCAACTACATTACCTTAATTTCTTTTCCACCATTGATATATCCCATAATAGTCTGTTTTGCTATTGGATTGCTCTAATAAATAGCTCTAATAAGTAGATCTAATAAAATTCAGCTTAAATTTGTTACTCTGTTGTGATCATTGTTGATATAGACTGGGTTCAATCTTCTCCATATTAGCCTTCAAAAGATTATCTATCTATGTATATGTATTCATCCATCTATTTATTAATCATCTATATGCATGCATATATCCTATCTCGAGTTTTCTATATTCTAGAAAAACAATGCTAGTTACTTCAGATTTTCAAGTAAAAGTTATATTCATGTGGTTAATATACTCAGTTCACAGAATGCTAATAATGTTGATGACTGCACGAACATTATTTTAGATAGTGTCTTAGTCCATGTGGACTGCTGTAACAAAATGTCAGAGACGAGGTGGCTTATAAACAACGGAAATTTATTTCTCACAGTTCCAGAGGCTGGAAGTCTAAAAATCATGATGTCGGCAAGGTCAAATGAGGGTCCTCATCCAGGTTGCAGAATTTTTATTGTACCTTCACAAGGAGGAGGAGTCTAGGGAGCTCTGTGGAGCCTTTTTTATGAGGGTACTAATTTCATTCATGAAAATGAAATCCTCATGACCCAATCACCTCCCAAAGTTCCCATCTCCTAATACCATTACTTTGGAAATTAAAATTTCGACATATGTATTTTGAGGAGAGATATAAATTTTGAGAATATAGCAGATAGTAGCATTATCAGTATGCCTTGTCTTCTTGCATACTGAAATGTGTCTGTACCTGCCAGTATAAAATGACTAATTACAGTATCTCTGATTCATTTCAACCATCTTAACACTAAGGCTCTGATATGACATGTTACCACTTTATATGTTAAGCCATGACACCCTTCTAACCAAAATAAATCTTACTATTGTTTTCAAGTGAGGTTTGCAATATTTATAATATTGTGCACCCTTTGCCTAAGCTTTTCTGATTGGCAATCATGTTTATCAAAAACATTCCACTCTATCAGCCTTAAAACATAGAATTTGGTGTAGAGAATAGAGAAGGGGTTTCAGATATGATTTTTATAGTCAAAGTATCTTACTCTACATACGAGTCTGCATTTTTTGAAGGGTAGGAATGCAAAGAATTCTCTTTGGAGTAAGAAAACATTCTCTTATAAATACAAATAATGTCAAGAGATATAGAATTCTACTTATTTTAATTTATAAATATTCTGTGATTTGTTAATTTGATCAGTGGAATGCAGTCTAACAATCAGCAGAAACCTTAAAGGAATTTACTTTTGAATCTTTAAAGAAAATCCAATAAGCACTTGAAAGATAAAATCAATGAAGAGTTTTAAATGTTTCTATTCTGATTTTCCACAGGGTCCAAGTTTTCTCTCTGAGGCCCTTTTCCCTAAACATGCAACAAAAATTGAGGAAATGGATCCTTTTTTCACCCTTCATGAAACCATTACTAAGGTAAGAGAGGAAGGCATTTATAAATGTTAGGAAAGTTTTAGGTTTTTTTCTGTTGGTAGGTGGAGAAAAGTAAAAAATAAAATCAATCAAGAGAAATAGATTTATATAAATATAAAAATTATATATGTAAATATATAATAAATAATAAATATATATATTTAGACTATACTAGAAAGGATTTTAAGTATCTCCTATTATTTTACTAAGGAGTGAAGGTGCTAAGCAACTCAGTCAAGATCATACAGACCAATAACTAAAGATTTGTATGTAAGATCAATCCTTAATATAACAATTAACTTTTTTTTTTTTTACGCTGAAAGTAGATTTATGGTGTATCCTCAAGCATACCCCTTCACTTTAGATTAAAGGCAACACAAAATGGGTCTTTGAATTTCTGTATTTTCAAAATTTGATTTCAATATTTAAAGTACTTGATTGTTTGAGGTACTTTATTAGTTGCAGTAAAAAAAGGCTCCTTTCTTTAATAAAAAGATAGACTGTGTTTGTAATAAATGCTATTACTCTGTGATTGTCATGCCTATTTTTATTGTATATTCTTACCTGGAATTTTATAATATAGAGAATATTAAATTCTACAGTATGGAACAAATAAATTTGATGCCTAATATATGATATCATATACATTTTTATATTTTCTGAACCAATTTTTTAACCTCTTATAATTTGCCTTTTGGGATGAAGTTTATAGAGAATATTAGCATTTTAGAACATTTAAAATAATCCAAATTTTATATGTTTACCTGAAAGATTGAATTATTCTTAAATCTTCTTAGTGAAAGTTTACAAGGCTGTTTTTCTTTAGAATGGGGAAATGTGGTATAATGAATTGAGCTCAAAGAGAGGCAATAGAATGAGCTCAGAATACAAAGACTAGAATCCTAGGTCTACCCCGGACATTTAAGAGCTATGTGAATTTTTTTCTGAACTTTTGAAATAAAAGAAGTTTGGACCACATTTTACTTCAAATTTTCCTAAGCTCAAAATAACTGAATCTTAAATACATTTATAACACTTTTTACTTTCTCCTCTATTCTAGTTCTTTGATTTAGTTTTTAATATCTCCATCCTTTGATTGTCCACTATTATTTGGATGTAGAAAGATAGAAGAGGTTCCAAAAAAAATAACTCCTTAGTATTCAAAATTTTAGTTGCATTTCTAATACTTGAAGAAATGATAGATAGAAAGGTAGGCAGCTAGGTAGATAAATAGAAAAAGATATCGTGTGTGTGTGTGTGTGTGTGTGTGTGTGTGTGTGTGTGTGTGTGTATTCGAATGAGTACATATATCTATATATTTGGATAAATGTTTCTATGTGTCAAATATATATATTTGTCTGCAACATGAGTTGTAAAATTTCACTAAGAAGATTTAAGAATAATTCAATCTTTCAAATAAACATAAAGAATTTGGATTATTTTAAATGTTCTGAAATGTTAATATTCTCTATAAACTTTATCCCCAAAAGGCAAGTTATGACAAGTTAAACAACTGGTTGGTAAACTATAAAAATTTATATGATGTCCTATATTAGGCATCAAATTTATTTGTTCTATACTGTAAAATTATATATATATAATATATACATATATATGGACA